GGGGCGGGGGTGGGGCTGGGGGGGGGGGGGGGGGGGTAGTCTCCTGACTGGAGCTGCAGGGTGCTCTGCTCTGCTCTGCTGTGGGAGGGGGTGCAGCTCAGCCCCGTTGTCTCTGCAGGTGGGGGCAGGAGGGGAAGAGATGTCAGACCTCTGCCTTGTATCCAGTGGGGGTGGGGAGCCAGGTCGGCTGAGCACCTGCCGCAGCAGTAACCCCTGCTGTAGCCAGGACCCGCCGTCCTTTCCCCCGTGCTCTGCCTGGTCCTCCAGCAGGAGTGAGGCCAGGCTACTCCCACCCTCTCCATTGCCACAGTCCTAGTCAGGGGGCTTCAGCAGTATTGGCCCTGGTGCCTGCCCTCAAGGGGAGAGCCCGGTTGCTCTGCCGGTGCCTCCTGGGTGCAGCTAGGGAGGCCCCGGCTGGGAGCAGCATGCAGCCAGGTAGGGTCCAAGTGCACGCAGAGACAGCCTCCCCGGCTCTCCCCAGCTGCAGCTGGGCCCCGGGCAGGCTTCTCCATAACTTGGCTCCCTGCAGCCCTGGGGCAGTGGGCAGAGCAAGCCCAGCCCAACCCTGAGCCAGCTGGAGGGCCAGGGCTTCTCTCGCCACCACCCAGCTGGGGAACAAGACCTTGCTCAGTGCCTCTGGGGAAAATAGGAGCCCGACCCCCTCCGGCAAAGCCAAAAAGGGGGCCTGAGATAAAGGAAAGGTCACTCCATCCTATGCAGGGCTCGGGGCTGGGGGGGAGGAAAAGGATGCCGGGGACCGTGGGATCTGGGAGAACAGGCTGTCCCTCCCAGCTCCCTACCAAAGCAGACCCCCTGCCTCAGCCAGAGGTGCCTGAGCTTCTGGCCACTCCACCACCCCTGAGGGGAGAGGGGAGAGCCACCACTGATAGGGGCCTGGGCAGGAGAAGCTCTGGGGGGAGAAGGGACCAAGGTGATCCCCAGTCCTTGGCAGCCAGTCCCTGGCTCCCACCTCCTGCATCTGGGCAAGAGCCTAGAGCACGGGCAGATGCCAGCTCCCACTCAACCCCACTGTCCTGGGGTGCCTGCCGGCCCCTCCCCACCCCGTGCACTTTGCCACACGCACCAAGACAGAGGCCCCGCACAGGCACACGCCAGCCCCTCCGCCCCCGCCCTCAGTTCTCTCCCCAGGACCAGCCTGGGGGGAGCCCGGGGCAGCCCAGCACGAGACGCGGCAGGCGCTGGTCCCACTCCGTAGGGCCGGGGGTGCACGCGGTGGGGGGGGCTGCTTTTGTTCTTTTAATAACTTCAGAATAAAGTTTTGTCTCAGTGCAGCTGGGCGCAGGGGGCTCCATCGGCGCCGACGTCTGCCCAGGCACGGGTCTGCGGGTCACTCAGTGAGCCCGGGTGCCAGGGGAATGGGCTCCCTGCAGCAGCCCAGTGTAGAGAGAAGGAGCTCGCTGCCTGCTCAGCACAGCCACGCTGCTCACGGGATGCAGGAGGAGCCCTTCCCTTCATAGCAGCTCTGGGTCCATGCCACAGCCCCCCTGCTGCTGGGCGGGCAGAGTCTGGGAGCCCTTGGGGTGAGGGCAGCATGGCACAGTCAGTGGGGGGGCATGGCCAGGATGCTGAGGTGCCGAGGGCTGGCTGCGCCGCTCAGAGCCATACCGCCTCCACTCGGTCCTGTCTCAGCAGGTCCCAGCACTCGCCAGCTTCCAGGTTCTCCGCCGGGACAGCCTGCAGCGAGACCTGGGAACAATGAAGGGCAGCTCTTGTGAGAGAGGGGTGGCCAGGGTGCGGGGAGCTCCTTGGAGCAGGGTGCAAGGGGCACGTCTGGGTGGGGCAAGGCAGCGCCAGGCTGCGATGTGGCACTTGCAGCTCCTAATTGGGAAGGAGTGTGGCTGCTTCCAGCAGCGTTGGGCCCAAGCCAACCCACATGGCTGGGGGCACCTGCTTGACAACCTCAGGCCACACCAAGCAGCCGTATGATCAGGAGCGAGCCAAGCTCCCTCTCTGCTCCTCAAAGCGCTACGAGGGACAGGGTCGCTTTCTGGAGGGGCGAGGGGCTCTTGGCCAGCCCCAGAGCAGCAGGACCAGGTCCTGAGTGGTGTCACAGTGCTGGGGGCCCTGCGTGGGCAGTGCTGAGGCCTCTCCATGGCAGGGGGATGGGGGGGCACCACAGGGCCAGAGAGTCACCTTTTTCTTACGGGTCCCGCAGCAGAGTCTCAGGTGCAGGAGCCGCAGGGTGAGCAGGAAGCACCGGGTGCTGAAGATGATCTCCACGAAGTCCAGGATCAGGGAGATGGTCCAGAGGGACAGCGTGGAGCTCTGCAAGGAGACGCAGGGGGGGTGTAAGCTGGGTCCTGGCCCTGGGAGTCATTCCACTGCCCTCCCAGCCTCAGGATCTGGCCTGCAGGGAAGCACAGGCTGGCACTGTTGGGTGCACAGGTCCTTTCTCCCACTCGGCCCCCTAGCCCAGTCCACCCTCACCTCTGTCTGTATGGCAGAGGGGGTCTGGCCGGAGCTTGCCACACAGTTGAACACACCAGCAGCTACAGCCCTTCGGTGCCTCAGGGTGGGAGATGCAGGACAAGCAAGGGGCGAGGGGGGCACTGCTACCAGCAACAAGGGGACACTCCAGAAGCCGAGGACAGGAGCTCCCGGTCCAGCTGCCCCCCCAGGTGCTTACGTAGACACGGGTGGGGTCAAAGGGGCATTCGCTGGAGATCTGGATCAGCTCCACGTCCGCGAAGGTGCAGGTGGCCAGCAGCGCACGCCCGTGGTTGGCAAAGGTGAGGATAATGGAGACCGCCAGGCCCAGCGAGCAGAAGAGCGAGAGGAGGGTGCTGCTCACGCTGAGGGAGAAGAGGGCCCACTTCTGCAGGGAGAGAGCAGGGGTGTCACCGCACAGCCAGGATGCCTCCATACGCACGCACGGGAATGCATCTGTGTGTCTGCACACACGTGTACACACACACACACACACACACACACACACACACAGGAATGCATCTGTGCATGTGCACACCTACCGGACTACATCCACACATGCACGCACACATCCACACGCAGGGATGTGTGTACACACACACACACACAGAGGAATGCCTCCACATGTGCATGCGCGCGCGCGTACACACACACACACACACACACAAGGATATGTACACCCCCCACGCACATACAGACAGAGGGACACCTCCACATGCATGCACACACATATATACATGCACAAGTCTACACGTTCACACTTACAACATGACCACACACACACAGACATGGGCACACCCACCCCCCTGCCGCCCTCTTTCAGTCCCCCAGGCCCGGGCGCTGCTTGCCCGAGTCCGGCGCAGGTGCAGGGGTTGTTGAGGCTGCATGGAGCCATGAACACGTGAGTGCCTCGCCCGCGACTAAGAGGCGCAGCCGGCACTGGGGCACGGCAGGGCAAGTCCAGGCCAGGCGAGCGCCCAGCGTGCTCAGCCCTGCGCAAGTGCAAACAGCAGGGCAGAGCGAGGAGACGCACAGCCCGCTGGCATGAGTGGGGAGCCCATCCCCTGCGGCAGGGAGAGAAACCTGAGCCCTTCCCCAGGCACGACAGGACGCCTTGCTGGGCTGGGGGTGCCATTAGCCTCATCCTTACCAGGGCAGTTTGCATGAGGTACCTGGAGAGCATGATGGCGGCGATGCCACAGGAGATGGTCTGCAAAGGGAGCACAGAGACAGGGGAGGAGACGCTGGCACACCCCACACACAAATACCCCCTGCCCCGGAGCCAGGGGCTCCTGCCTGCCTGCTGGACTTGCCATGGGTTTACTTCTGGGAGGTTGCCTCTAATATGGGCATGGCTGGTTCTGCCCAGGAGAGACGCAGGATCATGACCAGCCGCTCTGGGAGTCAGTGCTTCCCCCTGCCCCGCGGATACAGCCGCTTCTAGAGAAGCCTGCCTGCAGCAAAGTGGCTGTGTAGGCATTCATCCCTGGAAGAAGCCGCCTGCCAGGCCCAGCGGTGGTCACCTCAGTGCTGGCGTTCACCCGCCCAAGGAGTCCGGCTCTGGCCCTGATGCAGTGCCCTTAATGCATGCTGGCAAGCCCCCAAGTGGGGCCGATCAATCGTTAGGAGCTAGGAAGGCTACGGGCAGCTCAGCCAGGACATCGTGGGTCCCACGAGAGCATGCCAGGATCACCGCGGCTCTAAAGCTGTTGTCTAAGGATAGGACGTGGGCCTGCATTTCTTTTCCTCAAGCATTTGATGCCGGCAGCACCTCAGGATGAAGTCCTAATGGCCTGAACGGGCCCCGTCCCCCTCCTATGGACCTTGCTCTTGCAGAGGCAGCACCAGGCTCTGCCAAGCTGACGGTAGCCTGCACAGAGCTGGCCCCGGCTCCATGGATGCTGCCCCACGTACTTGCGCATCCCCCCGCGGCTTTCGTATCCGAGCACCTCACGATCCGCTTGTGCCCCGTGTGCTAGGACGTGCGAGACTGAACCCACAGAGCCGTGCTGGGGGCCTGACACCCACTGGGGCCACCTAGATCCCTACAAGGACCTGGCCTGCAGCTGGACAAAGCCCTGCTCGGGCACCAAGGGCCCCCAGGCTGCCTCTGGCACTTCCTACCTTCACCCTGTCCCACCCTCCCCTTTGCTGGATGGACCCGTCACAGGCACTGGTCCTCACCAGGCTGTATATGGATTTGGGCGGGCGGGCTCCGCTGCGCTCGGCCCTGTACATTCATGCTGTGGGAGTCCCTCCCTGTCCCTGTGGATCTGTAACCCAAGCGGCCTCCCCAGACGAGACTGGGGACCGCAATGCTCCTGCTCAGGCCCACGCTGGACCTGGGCGTTTGCAGGGCTGAGGCTGCAGCCCTCGCTGTCCCAGGCACAGCACCCATAAAAGCCCCAAGGCGGGGGTGCAATAAAGAGGTCCGGCATTACGGAGAACCCTGCCGTGGGATCTGGCCTCACCCAGCCACTGCTCAGACCCACGGTTCCTGGCAACCTCATTCACACGGAAACTGCTCAGGCCCACGCTGGACCTGGGCGTTTGCAGGGCTGAGGCTGCAGCCCTCGCTGTCCCAGGCACAGCACCCATAAAAGCCCCAAGGCGGGGGTGCAATAAAGAGGTCCGGCATTACGGAGAACCCTGCCGTGGGATCTGGCCTCACCCAGCCACTGCTCAGACCCACGGTTCCTGGCAACCTCATTCACACGGAAAAAAGCTCCCACCCCCCCCACCCCCCCCCCCACCCCCCCCAGCCCCCCCCCAGCCCCCCCCCGCTCCCTGTCCCTGCGCCCCGCCAGCCGTGAGGACGCACCAGGAGCGCGGAGCTCACGGCGACGACGTTGGAGACGGCATACTGCAGGGAGATGGTGTCCTGGGGGTTGGCCACGTAGCGCAGCACGGTCCCATGGACCAGGGCACTCACGATGAAGTTGAGGTGGCCGATGACAATGAGGATGAGCCCCGTCTTCATTAGCAGCTTCTGATGCCCGCCAGGGTCAAGGTTGTCTGTGTGAGAGAGGGGGTCAAGCCTTGGGAGTGACCCCGGCAGCAGCGCGCAGACCCGGGACACGTACGCACACGGAGCTGTGCCTCGAAGTCCTGCCGGCCAGGGCCAAGGCAGCTCATGGAAAGCACCTAAGAGGTGATAAGGCCAGGGCTGGGCAGCCGCCCTGACGTCTGGGGGTCAGGGAAGGTGCGTGAGCTCTGGCCAACCCTATCCAGCCCCCTGGCTACCCACCTGTGCTGCTCCCTACCATAAAGCAGAGCCTGAAGCCCTGCCTCCCTCCCCGCTACCCCCCGAGCCGCGTTGGCAGGAGCAGGCCAGGCGCTCCCCTGGCCCCGTGACCCCCGGCTGGGCAGAGGCACCGGTTGGTTTTGGAGAGCTCCCAGCAGGTGGGCGCGGGGCTCTGGCTGGGCCACAAGGAAATGCCATCACTCCCTATAAAACCCGATTGCTTTAAAGATTAACCCGTCACCAAACGTCCAGTCCCGAGATATCCTTCCCCACCCCAGCACACCTGGCTGGCAGGCGAGGCCTGTGCTGCACGGGGAGCTCGGGGACCCCACTCCCCCGAGGGCTTCAAGACAGGTTTCTCCTGCAGAAGCCTCAGAGCTACGGGGTGGGACCGAGATTTGTGCCGCCTGCTCACCTAGACCAGCCCGGGGCCCAGTGCAGACAGCTGTGCCGTAGGCGAGGGGGCCCCTGCTTTCTGGGGCTCCTTCACCCAGCACCTCTCATCCCACCACCCGGGGCCCCAAGCTTGCAGCGTGCAATGGCCGGTGCTTTCGTTTCCCTTCCCAGCTCTGTGCTACTCTGAGCAAACGGCGCATCCCGCGCCTCGGCTTCAAGGCGATGCCGTGCGCCATGGCTCATAGGGAGAGGCATTCAGCTAGCTGCGCCCCCAAGGTCCTTGGGCAGCACCGGAGAAGCAAGGAGGGCAATGCTGTGGCCTGTGGGTCTGCTTCCTGCCCCCGCAGCCTGGTGGGTGACGCCTGCAGGGCCAGCACCACGGGGAGACTGGGACCCAGGCCTCTTGTTCCCTGCTACCCCGTCCAAGGTGCCTCTTTCCCCAGCAGACACTGGTTTGACAAGACCCCACTCACTGAGCCGACACATCTTCGCAGCGGGGATCAGGCCATGGCTGCTCCGGCGTCCATCCCTTGGCGCCCAGCGGCAGGCTGGGGGAGCCTTGCAGGCAGGCCGCGCTCCCAGTCCCTACCTGCGCGCTCCGCCATGCAGGTGCTGCAGGGCCGCAGCTGCCAGGAGCCTCCGACCCGCCAACCTGCAGCAGGATCTCGATCTGCTCTTCCTGTCCAACCAGCTCCCTGGGCTGGGAACAAAAGGCTAAACTCCACCTTCCCTACCCCAGGAAGGGTGATTCAGAGCTCAGACCCCACCCACCGCTGCTCCCAGCTCCTGCCTGTAGTTGTCTAGGTATGTGGGCCTCTCCCCACCACCCTGCAGGACCAGCCCTCTGGCACCTGGCAGGGACCCTGGCTTCCCACCCACGCCTCTGCTCCACGTTTCTTGGCCCGCAACCAAGGGGCAGGCTGCAGCGTCACGGGACTGTGGCGCAACAGGGCTCGGCTCCGGCCTGGACGGAGTTCACGTGGGCACTGTGGGGCTGCTGCGCAAACCGGCCCTCACCGCGGGCACTTCTCCAGCCCTCGCCCAGCTTGGAGGGCAGCTTTGTACTGTCCTCCTTGTCCCTGCCAACTGCTCCACGCTCTCCACCAGCCCCAATGAGCCTGTGCATGCTCCTCTACAGCCCACGGCATCCGTGCACCAGGCCCTTGCTCAGGGGAGTGAAGCGGCAGCTCTCCTTATACTGCTCAGGCACCAAAAATGCCATCCCGACACACTCCTCTCCCCCGGAGCATGCGCTGGAAGGCAACTGCAGCCCAGCTCCAGCCACATGCTTCAAAACTGACTGAGAGGAGGATCTCTCCCTGCTTTTTTGGAAGAGCCCTTCCCTGGGTCCCAGAGCAGCGCCCTCCGGCCATGCCGCTACACAGCTCGCAGATCCACCTGAACAGCAGCCAGGCCCGGCAGAGCAGCCGGCCACGGAGATAACAGCAGTGATGCCTGTCCCCCACATGTGACCCCCAATCTCGAACCCAGTGCAGAGCAAGCCTCCCTGGGAGGAAAGCCGGGAGCCAGGTGGCCTGGTGGCTCTTAGGCCAGCAGCTGCAGCATGGCATAGCCCAGGGCAGAAGGAACCGTGGCACGGGGAGACCCGAGCAGCTGGTTTGAATGGAGGATTCATCCTAGCAGAAGAGGGTGCACGAGGGGAGGACAGAGCTCGCTCCAGGGAGGTTGGAAGAGCAAGGAGAAGACCTCCGAGGGCCAGAGGAGAGAAACCGCTTGGGAAAAGAGCGGCGCGGCTGGGGAGAGCAGAGCACAGCCTGTGGCCTCGAGCCTGCGACACACGGTGCAGCGGAGCGGGTGAGTGGTAAGCGTGGTTTGCAAAGCTGAGGGCTTTGCACTGGGAGCCCCTGCTTGTCCCATCCCTTGGGGACAAGCACAAGCCGCCAGGCCACCGCTGTCACTCAGGAGCTCTCCCCTTCCTGCCAGCCAAGGCTCCCTTGACCTCTGGAGCAGCGCTCCCGAGTCCTCCGCACCCTCCCCACATGTGGGGCGAGAGCTCCAGCCCCGAGCTGCGCAGAAAGGCCCCAAACCGGAGCCCTCCAACAGCATAGCCCGAGGCCTGGGGCAGGCAGTCACCAAATGCCCATGGGCTCCAAGGGGACCACACTTTCCCCTCTGGGGCCTGCCTGCCTCCAGCACAGCCTACTGCAAACATGGAGCTCACAAGACAGCCAAAGGCTTCCTAAGCCAACCCCACCCAAAGCAGAGGTGCAAGGACTTCGCACAGAGCTCTGGCACGAGGCAAGCGGCACAATTTGGCTGAAGAACAAGCCTCCCACAGCTCCAGCCGAGCTCCATGCCCAACATGATTTGCTCGGCCACCTCCTGCCCCAGTGCACCTGATGCTCAGTGCCTGGCGTACGCGTCCCCCCAGCTGGGGCACTGTCCCCGCTTGGCTGGCATCGCGCTTTGCTCCCTCCCTTATGACTGGTGCCCGGCTCACCTGGCAAAGGTGTCTGCTAGTGAGCTAAGCACGTGGGAGAGGGGTTAGGATCAGGGACAGCTCCCTGCTGTAAGCCAGCTTTGCCTTGCCAAGAAGGGACAGGAGAGGGAATGATGTGGTTTGGGACATGTGGGATCTGCAGGTTTTGCACAGACACCCTCCGTTACTGTCTGTGCCTGGCCCCACGTGGGCGTAGCTCCCTCCGAGTCAAAGCCCAGCACCCAACCTGGGACCACCTGCCACTGAACAAGGCCTAAGGGCATAAATGCCTTTAATGCCAGCAAGCATCCCTGGCCCTCTTAGGTCAGGCCTCGTCTCCTCCAGGCTGCTGCTGCGTGGCCCCTTCTCTTAGCTTCACCACATCCCAAATCCCCGCTGCTTCCTAGCTCTGCAGGGAAGGTCTCACACAGCTTCCCTTGCAGTTCCTCCTGCCACCTACCGGTGCTGCAGCCGAGGAGCGTGGTTGCAGAGCCACGGGCTCTGATCGGGCTTCGAGATGCTCTCTGCAGCCCCCGTGGGGGAAGACGACACGCCGAGGGTCCGTGTTCCAGCAACAGGCACAGCTGAGGGCATGGAAAGCAAGAGGCTGTAGCCCAGCACGGTACCTGAACATCATACGCATCTATATGTAGTTGGGAGGGCTTAGTCCCCCATCTCCAGCTCTGTGGGGTGGGCTGTTGTGCTGTGGGGAGTTCCCCCAACATGCTCCCCCATTCTCTCTGCAAATGCAGATTGTGCTGCTGCTTCTTGGGTGGGGAAAGAGGCAAAGGAACGGGGAGAACAGGTCCGTTTCTGCCTGGAGTCTGCAGCGTCAGTGCCCACACACTGCAGCCCCTCCACGCAGCCCCATGCCAGGGGAGAACACTTACCCGACTGAGGCAGGAGTCCATACCCATCTGTCCAAGTAATCCAGCCTAGTCCATGCAGTGGCAGGCCTGTCTCACCCCCTCTGCTCGCAGCAGCCAAGCTCAGAGCACTCGCCTAGTCCCACTCCATCCCTCCTCTCATTAAGGCCACAGGGCTTTACAGCATGATCAGCTGTAGCTGCATGGCTGGGTGGGAAGCAGAAGAGAAAGATGATGGTAGTTTATACAGGGACTGAGTCTAACACCATGCTACTGCCATGGAGCAGATGGCACTAGCACGGGGGGCTGTGCCTGCTCCTGCCTGCCTGGATGCTGGGATCATCATTGCTGCTGCATCATGGCCGTCCTGCATCTCATCGGGGTGTCCCCGCTCTACAGAAGGCATTTGCTGCCTCTTAGCCACTCCAGGAGCAAAGTGGGAGCCAGCTCCCTTGACGTGCATCAAGCAGACCGCGTGCCATCTGGAGTCTTGCCTCGAACCGGCATTACCTCTAGTCAGGCCTGTAGAGGGCAGCCGATAGTTCCCTCCACCCCAGCTCCTAACACTGGATCAGCAACATAGCTGGAGAACAAAGCCTGCTCGCCACACCCCGCATCTGAACCAGGCCCCTCTGTACCAATCCCACCCTTCTTCCACCCCCTCCATATGGACCCCGCTGGCCACAGCAGCCTTCTCAGAAGCTGGAGAGGGAAGAAGGAACCAAGGCAGGGAGGGAGTTGCAGCCCACAAGGCCTTCAGTTCTTACATCTCGGAGAAGGAAGAGCTGGATGCGAGTCCAATGACAATGGAAGTCTTTATTAAAACAGTCCTTCAGTATGTTTGCAGACACACAGGACACACACATACATATGTACACTCGCACAGAGCACCAACAAGCGTTGGGGTCAATAAATTAAAACAGAGGGGGCAGGGGGGGCTTTGTCACGTAAGAAATGGCATCTCCCCAGGGCCGGGCTGGGGGAGCGACAGAGATTCGGAAACAGAAGCCAAGGAGGACGCAATCCCAGCCCCCGCCCCCAAACGCAGCGACAGCAAGTGTGCTCTTCAGGAAGAGGCAGCTTCATACTCTGGCTTCAATGCACTCCATGTGAGAGAGCACATCATCCGGCCTGCAGCCCTCGGCTTGGGCACAGTGGCTCATGTGGGCACTTGGGCTCTCAGCACCTCTGGCTTTCGGGGTCCGGGGGCAGGCAGCAGTCTGAGAGTGGGGGGACTCGCATTCGTCCGAGGTAATGTCTGGCACGTCGTCTGACTGGCTGTCGGAGCTCTCCAGGTCGCTCCGTATGCTCTCGGGCTGCGCCAGGGTGATGTCCCAGGTTTTGCTGGCAACGCAGTCCTTCCGCTCACAGTTTTGGTGTTTGCAGGTCTGCTCCTGTTCCTCCTCACCTTCCTCGTCCTCCTCGTCCTCCTCTGCCATCTGGGTGTGGACATGGAGAGAGTCCTCCGTGCTGCTACCGCTCACAAGCTGGTAGTGGCTGGGTTTGGCCTCAATGTCCACCTGGATCTCCATGTTGTTGCATTCTCTGCAGGAGCAAGCACCTCCTCAGTTACTGGTTTTACAGCAGGGAGCCTGTGGATCTTAGCACTTGCCAATGCAGTGAGCTTAACTGCAGGGAGGCAGGGACCAGGGGCACCATTCACTGCACTGCGCTACGTGACAGACTAGCAATGCCTGCAATGGTTTAATCCCTTTTAATGGCAGCCATGACATGACCTCCCACCCCGTTATGGGAAGCCAGCATACAGAGGCAGGCAAGCTAACTGCATCGCCAGTTAGGAACAGGCCTCATCCTCTGGTGTGCGTGCACAGTTTGTGTCTAACTGTCCTGTGTCCTCATTCAATGCAAAACTGAGCCAGGGAAGCATAAGAGGAGATATGGCCAAGGCACGAGCAATGCTAAGTGCGGACGTGATACTCCAGACACAGGAGGAGCGTTTAGCTAGGGCAGACCACGACCGACTGTTCTGGCAGGTTTCTGTCTAATGGAAGCAGAGTCTGTAATCCTAGAAGCAGAGAGTCTGCAAAATCTATTCCTAGGCAGACAATGGGTTTGCACGTGTCAGCGTCCCATTGTTTCCGATTACTGACTTTTAATCACACCCGGCACAGGAACGAATGACAGAGGCTCCAGGGGAAGCTGCGTGGTGACAAGCACCATAGAGATGATGCCCACGGCAGCAAAAGGCACCAACGGCCCCAGCAGCTGCTTGTTTAAGAAACCAGAGCCTCTGCTGTTTGCCACAGGCTCAAGTAAAAGCAAGAGCTGCTCTAAGGAGGTGTCAAACAGAGGTGCCAAACTACAGCAGTAGCTGGAAAGGAAAGTACAGGGATCCTTCTACTTGCACTGAGGTAGGACTAGCTAGTAAGAGTCTTCACCCACCCTCCAGCACCAGCCTGCAGGGACACTGTCAGCCCACCCTCCTGCCCCATCGTGGCTGACGTACCTGTCCTGGGGGTTGTACGAGCTGATGATGGAGCCTGCCATCGCCCGAGTGCTGGCGTTGTCACTGATTGCCCCGAGACTGACCGAGTCCTTTGGGAAAATCTCCTTCTGGACATCCGCCTGCACCTCCAGCCTGGGGAAGAGACAGGGAAACACCCAGTCAGCAAAGCCTCTGGGAACCCCCGAAGATCCAGCCTTGTCCCTATAGTCTCAAGACAAGGACTAGTGAGCAGGAACAGGCAGCCCCCCACGCTAATGCAACTCAACAGCAAGTTTAAACCAGATGAAGCTTTGAGGTCAACCTCCTTCCTGGCCCTATTGACCCAAATCCCTTCCCAAGTCTGTTTCCTGTGACACAGGTCAGGTTGTGTTTATGCCTGCGACGCATGCAGTTCCTGGGAAGAGCAGATTTCCAGGTCCAGCAGAGTCACAATCACCTTCTGGCTCTAATTTCAATGCCTGCCTCCAATTACACAACCGGCTGACTCAGAGACAAGTTCGGAGGAAGACTGCGGTGTAACCTTGTGACTCGGGAGGCAGCAGCTCCGCATTCTCTTGGTGCCACTGGGGAACCAGAGGAGGTTGGAGTATAGGGCCGGGTCACCGAGACAGCTGGAAGAGCTTTACATAGTGACTAACGCATCTCCCATGGGCTCCCATCTCCACTCTTGTCCACCAACCACAAACCTCGTCCTCCCGCCCATCAACAGATGTGGGGGAACAGAGGCTGCTGCACATGGGAACGAACAAAGCAAGCCAGGCAGCCCACACAACCGCTGGGAGCAGCACAAGCCTCACAGTCACCCACCCCTTCTGCCCCCAGCTGAGCCACTTGGGTTACCTGCTGTACTTCCCCTTCCCTCCGGAGAGGACTCCACCGCTCAGGGTGCCACCTGAGAGGGCAGCGAAGCTGGCTGTCTCGCTGTAGTTGCCCTGCATGACGCTGAGCCCATCCGTGGGGCTCCCGCTGGTGCTCAGCACGCTGGTCAGCCCCTCGATGCTGCTCTCGCCAATGCTGGGGTTCTTCAGGGCCCGCCAAGCGTCCGCCACTGAGACAAGGACAGGACAGAGTTTACAGGAAAGTGCTTTCAGGAGCCCCGCTCTCCTTTCAGATTATACCAGCAGGACTAGGCTAGGATTCCCCTGGTAAAGGCCTTGCCTAACTGACTACAAGTGCCAGGAGAATGGAAGTGTGCCACTATGCAACCAAGCTAAGCAAAAGTCTGAGGATACTGAGAATGGCTTGTAATCCCCAGCCCCCACAGCCCAGCATTGTGGTCACCCTCCCACATGGGCCCCATCTCTTCTGGCTGCATGGATTCAGAGAGCAAAAGATTCCTCTTTACCTGTAATTGGCCCATCATCTTCATCAAACTCTATTTTCACGCCCTTCCCGTTGGCTGTGCTGACCCCGCAGCCACCGCCGCGGCAGAGAGAAATGGGCACGACACCGTAGACGTAGGCCAACATGATGGGGACACCAATACCTGGAACAGAACAGGCTCTGAGTCAAGGAGGGCCAACGGGCTGCAGCGAGACGCGGTTGTGCTAGGCTGAGGCAGACACAGCCTTTCTGCTCTGGGTTGGTAGAGCCCCTAGCACAGCGGGGTTCCCCCCACAAGCTTTTCAGCACTGCTGTCATACAAAGTAAGGCTGCCAACCCCACAGCCCAGCCCAGCCCAGCCCGTTGTATTATACCCCCCTAAGAAACCAGGTGTGAACTAACACAGTAATACAGCAGGGCCAAAGGCCTCCAATGCAAGTTATAGTGTCAGCATCCCAGGACTACAGTGAGTCTGCAGAAAGAAGGGCAGCCTCAACAGAAACAATGCACAGAGGCTCACCGTGACCAGTCTATGCTAGGCCCTGCAGCCTCTGTAGGCAGCATGTTAGATGAGTGGGAAGAAGCCAACTGGGCACGTGATGGATGTCTGAGCTGCACTTGGGCCACCTCTGTCAGACCCCAACCTAAGAGACCTTGATGGAGGAAATACAACGGAGCACTGGCCAGCCAAAAGGACAGTGGGCTCGGTCTACTTACCAACGCTGACAGCAGCAATGACTGGGGAGGCAATGACAGACAGGGTGACGCCGCCAGTGATAGCCAAGTTTCTCTTGTGCTTGGAGGTCTTCTTGCCCTCATACCTGCTGTGGATCTGAGAGAAGAGGGAGTGGGTGAGGATACAGCTCTCCAGGCAGCGAGCAACCGTCGGTCCACCCTTATGCTATTGGTACAAATCCAGGTCAGGCCGGTGGCTTCCGTGAAGTTGGATACAATTTCAGGGTCCAGTTACTACAAGAGTTCATGTCATAAGAGCCAACTGGGCCAAGAACATCGGTCCCTCCGCTCCCCTGGGACGTGCTAGATTCATAGTGGAGCCCTGCTGGGACTGCAGTAGGAAGCCTTACAATGTCAGTGCTCACAAGGCACCTCTTCTGTGGACCAAGAACCGCAGTGTCCAAGGCTGTCAAGCCACCGCCATCTGCATAAGCCCACTGCAGATCACTAGCCCAGCTGTACAGACAAGTCCCCCTCTTAACAAGCCTGAACTCCGTGGCAGACAGCTAGGCTCCCACAGACAATGCCTCCAGCTCTTCACACTTACCTTCCTTCCAACATAGACTGGGATCCCAATGACCATGGCAGGAATGGCAATGCCAGCAATGAGGGAAATGCCTACTGGGGCACCAATCAACGTGCCCAACTGCCAGAGAATCTTCTTCTTACGGCTCCATGGCTTCTTGCCCCAGAAGGTGCAGCCGGAAGGGCTGTAATGGAAGCAAGCATTACTTTTAAGCCCTCAGCTGGAGAGAAGACAACTTTTAAGATCATTCAGCATCCAAAACCAGACAATCCCCATGGGAATGAGCAGATACAGTATGACAAGCTTCCTTCTCTCCCCAGATCCGTTGGCCCTTCAAACTGGCTGATCTCCCTTCATGCCCAAGGCAACAGTCATCCCATGAAGAGCTTTCGTCATGCTCTTCCAGAGCTGAGGCATGGCGAGACAACCCGGTGCTACTACTGGGAAGGCACCAAGATCTTTCCCTGGAATAAGTGGGAATGGGCTCCTGATAACGAGTATTTGGGAGGGAAGGTCAGAGATTGCCATTTGAACATGAAAACATAATCAGTGCGAGACACGCGCTAGTGCCCAGAGGGTCACACACCCCACCTCACCTGAGGTAATGCAAATCGGAGATCTCCTTCATGCACAGCCAGCAAAACTCGCAACCACACACGGCACAGGTCATGTGATTGCAGCTCCCATCATTCATCTTGATGATGTAAGCGCTGCACCGTGGACATGGCTTGATGTCATCAGCTGAAGGGAATAAGGAAGGAGGAAGGGGAACAAGTCAAATCCAGTGCATTATAGTCACCCCCCGGGGAATTAAGAGGGGGAGCTTGAGGCTGGGTCAGACTGGGAGGACGTGACACAGGCCACCCCCTCCAAACAAAGGTGGAACAGAGGTGGGCACAGCAGGCTGGTTATGGCTGCAGCTGCCAGAGCAGCAGGATCGAGGTGGGGAGCCAGCCCTCTCCATGCTGGCACTCAGAAGTACAGTTTGATGCTGTTTTCCTGGCAACCAGGGACCAGGTTAAAGCTTATTCTAGGTCAGGCAGGAGATCGAGTCTGGAACACATTTGTTTAGTCAGGTAAGAGGGTTCATGCCTGCCCCAGGCAAGCTGACCCAACAACGTTGGCAACTGCCATCTTTAAACCACTCCATTAACATGATCCAAGGGCCAAGAAGGCAGAGATTGCTCTCCGCGGAGGGGAGACCACCAGAGCAATTCTGACCCAGATTTCTGAAGGGCAGCCCCCTCTTCATGGGCATCAGCTGTGCTTACAATCAATTCTGACCCAGATTTCTGAAGGGCAGCCCTCTCTTCGTGGGCATCAGCTGTGCTTACAACGGCAGATAAAGATTTCGGTGTCTAGGAAGCTCTGTATCTAATCTGTGCGGGTCTCGGAGCTCCACTTTACAGCACAGCAAGGAGATGAGATAAAGTCCACCCCCCATCTACAGTACAGTAAGTGTACCTGATCTAAGCATACCTTCATGTAGGCAGAGTTTTCCTGCCTTTCTTTAAAGACTTCCCAGTCCAGGTCTACAGCTAAGAGACCAACTTGTGCCTTATGCTATGGTCCCTGTAGTTTAGCTCAGCGAGGGGGAAACGGGGGCACCTTTCATAGATTTCATAGACATTAGGGCTGGAAGGGACCTTGCAAGATCATCAGGTCCAGTCCCCTGCCCAAAGGGCAGGCAGTCAGCAAGGGTCAAATGATCCCAGCAGGATAGGCATCCAAGTGTTTCTTAAAGGAATCCTTTGTTTCTCTTGATAGTGAAACTCTCTCAAAGCTCCCCCCGGTAGCTTTGAGTCAACTCGATTTACTTGCTGGTTTCATGTTGTATCTCGTCACGGGCCAGGGTACTGTTTACGGTGCCCATTGACAAGCCTCTGGGGAGTTATGGGGAGTGTTAGCCTGGAGTAGCAGCTCAGCTGCCTTTAACATCACTAACAGCCTAATTCAGCCAGCTATGGTGAGAGCAGAACAGTGATTATTATTAGTATCATGCTAAGAGAAGTAACACATTTCAGTTGTGCTAGGGTGTGGGAAGAATCTATTTATTGGTCTTTCTTGATCGTTCTCAGAATCATGAATACACTTTTAACCTCTGTAGCTCTGTAGATATTTTGGACTGAAGACAGCTGCTCTTCACCAGGCAACACAGAGTTTGTGGTTTGGCATCTCTCCCTAACAGAGGCTGGTACTGCTAACATAGAGCAGAGCAGAGAGCTAAGCTTGCTATGCTGGGTGAAACGATGGTGCTACTTCTGCCTGCAGCAGAGACCAACTAGCGCTCAAGTTGAGACTGCCAAATTTCCCTTTGGTGGCTGTTTAAGATTTAGATCAGTAAGAAACGAGAACATCTGTAAGATCAAAGCACCCACTAACACTGCTGCTTACTGCGTCTGCAGGATCAAGGGAACAGTCGTGCAAAGAGAGAACCCAACTGCATGCTGTCACCTGAGCGGGGGCTGGAGGGGGGAATTCCAACAGCTTTCAACGAGCCCGTCTGGCCAGAAGTTTATCACATTATGAGCGAGGAAAGGAAGCTGCACTCAGCATTGCAGCTGATCCCATCCATCATGGCTGGAAAACCTCAGCTATGCCCAACAGCCTGCCAGGTGCTAATACCCTGCTCCGATCTCAGGAAGTGCTGCTCAAAGGCTGGGTCCTTCCCAGCATCAAAAAGTATAACGGTCCTAATGGGGAGTGAGAAGCTTGGCTAATCTGTACCTGGTCCGGACTCCTGTCCGTAACTGAGGCCTGAGGTGTGCTTCGTCCGTACCCGCAGCGTCTGGGCCCTCTGCTGACGGGCCATATCGCAGGTTTGGTTGGGGTGCCATATCTGCTTGCAGTGATAGCAGAACTCTGTCCGGCAGCCTTCCCTCTCGCAGGTCAGTTTGGGGCAGCTGGCACAGCCGTAGGCAATAACTGCGTACCTGAGACAGACAGACAGACACCAGGTGAGCTAAGCCAGGAAGTGGTCTTGGGAATACAGGACTTGAAACACAAGAACGTATCAACGATCTCTCCGCTGGGCGGCGCCGAGGGAGAGGCACAGGGGCCCACTTCAGAAACTGCATCTCAGCAGTGAGCGGTGACCCCCGGCTATTTCCACCCCACACACTCACAATCCAAGCTGTGCAGGGCAGCCCTGTTGTTTGCTCGACACACCGCACGCACCACACGTGCAGAGCTGAAGCACACTTGGCTCAGACACAAAACATCTTCCAAGCCAAGGAGGATGCAGATTTGTGACACACTTAGTCACAGCATGTCAACACAGCACCCATCGTTATCTAATTAGCTAGATATCTTGCCTCTGATGCTGACTGACACCAAAGCCCCACTACGATCTTCCTGACCCACTGAACCATCTCACCAGAGGTTTGCCTATAGCTTCCCTGCACAGGGCAAAATCTCCTTGAGCTCCGCTGCTGAGTTTTATGCCCCGAGGCTCTAGGTCAGTTCTTCCTATGAATTTTATCCAGCCACATGCAAACTGAAAGGCTCGGCTTTCAGAGCAGTTTCTTCACAGTCACACTTATAAAGCTCACTTCGGGGCCCGCAGAAGTGAGCTCCACGGGTTACGCTGGAAGATGGGTTTGTTTCATTGACTCGAGACTGATCGTGCTCTGGGAGATCAGGACACTCAGCTGGCCTCCCCTCATCGTGTCTCTCTTCCAAACCGAGTTTTAATGTTTCTAATTGCTTTCCAGGCTGAAGCCTTTGCTCTCCACAAAAATTTTGCTTCTCCACTTCTGCAGATCTTCCCTGGTATTTCTAGAGGAGTGTATTTGCTTGTCCTCTCAATACTGCTCGTGTTCTCTCGCCCGATGCAGCATATGGAACAGATTTCCCCCTATGCATCCGCTGTGCCAGAATCTATTGCTGCAGCGCGTACAGCCAATTCAAACCCTTGGACACGACAAGCTCAGCTTGCTCCCGATGAACGTTATCTTCCATGCATCTAGATTTAAGCTGTTCAGCCGCTATTGGTGTTGACCAATTACTTAGGACAGTCGAGCCCAGAGGGGACTGTGATCCGATCCAGAAGGACCCGTTACACTAAATTGTTTCGGTCAGTTTTGCCGCCTGGCAGGCCAAGTGGCATTTGTAAAGAGGTACAAGAGGAGTTCAGATCTGCAATCCTTTCAAGAAACAAGCCCAGCAGCTGGGCTCCAGAGTAAGGGTTTGGGGGTCTTTTATTTGATTTTTTTTTTTTTAAATGAAGAAGAGCTCTCTGCTTCGCGTCTCCTGGGTCAGGAGGGAGTACAGTGAAAGACCTTTCCCTAGGTCAGTTTTAGGTGGACCGGTTACAGAAAGAACTGGGAAAGGAAGAAAGGGCAGAGAGGGCAGTCACTGGCATTTGAGCTGGCAACATGGAGATGGATTATCACTGCCACCAGAAGGATTGACTGGAGGGGGTCCAGAGGCTGCTGCAAGGAAGTGAAGTGGCAGTTATGACCTGGCTGCCTGAGATAAGGAACTGCCTGAGAAACAGCGGGGCTCCGTCCAGCCTGATATAACACGATGTCGGGGCGAAATCCCGTAATGATTTGCTGCAGTTTGTTATGGGCCGGAGGAAGAGTACCCCCACTGAGGGTTTATTTTTAGAGCCTTGGGTAACTCAAATTGCATCGGAGCTTCTCAGAGGCAGCAGCAGCGTGAGAACCGCTGAATGTGTCATACCACAATGATTCATATCCCGTGGGAGTTTGAGTAACTTCGTTCTGCCTGGGTGCAACCTAATTGCCAAAGAGAAACAAAGCTCCCCTGCCGAGGGGCAGGGCCAAGATGCACGGCAGCAAGGTCTGCCTGTGCATCAGTGGCTCCGTGTGTCTAAAACTCACAGTCGATGCCACGAGACACAGCCGCTCTCGGAAAAGCAGTCAACTCCAGCCCCATCCGAGAGCTGGATGTCGGTCAGAGAGACCTTCACAGACGCTCCCACCCCCTGCCAGTCTATCAAACTCCTTCACAGGGAGAACCACAGGAGCCAGGACACCTGTCAGGACCCCTGACCTAGGATCAGGACTGTCCCTCTGTGCCACATTTCCTCTACCCAGGATTGGGGCTAGCCTCCTGCCAGCATCCCCCACCCCAGCCAGGATTGGGACCAACTCCTGCTGACATCCCCCTGGATTGGGACCATCCCTCTGTCAAAGTCCCCCCCACACATCAGGACCCCCAACCCAGGATCAGGATTGCCCCCCATGCCCCATTCCCCCTACCCAGGATTGGGGCTAGCCCCCTGCCAGCATCCCCCACTCCAGCCAGGATCGGGACCAACCCCTGCTGACATCCCCCTACCAAAGTTCCTCCCCAGTCAGGACCCAGGATTGAGACTGTCCCCATGTGCCCCATTTCTGCCCCCCTACCCAGGATTGGGGCCATCCCCTGGGAACACCCCTTACCCAGGATTAGGACCCAAGGGCAGTGCCCTCTCCCACACCACATCTGACCAGCTGTTAGAAGACGTGTTGCCATTTTGGACCCAGACAATTGCCCTAACAGGTGGGCACGGAGAGCTCAGCGTAGTCCGCTAAGATGCCTTCCGCCGTCTTGAGCCGACCCTATCCCTTAGAGTTCGCAGGCTTTTCTGGCTATTTCAGTTGCTCTCAAAGAGAACGGCAGATCTCAAGAACTTAATTTATCCCCACCGTTAAAATGGCAATTCACAGCTAAGAGCTCACTGGCGTGGAGCGAACAACGTGCTTTTTGGCTGTCCGCAAAGCCTCTGGCTCCGAACTTAATCCAGCTCAGGAGAGGCTGCTCAAGCGTTCTGCCCAGAACAAAAGCTGCCTCTGGCTATACCCAGCATCGGAGGGTCTAGACCGTTAATAGCATCTGCATCCTTCTTTGCTTGGCCCGTCCCACATCCCGATAGCTTAGCAATTAGTCACTTCCTGCTACAACCCCAGCTGTTAATATGCAGGAGAATTTGAACGTCTCTACAACCGAGCGGTGGCTGCCAGTCTCTTCCCTGGTCCCGCAGAGGGCCGTGGACTCACAGTGCTGCTCCTAACCTACACGCCCACAGCCACCGAGCATCGTCTGCCTACTGCTGCCACCACTACACCTCCTCCTCCATCGGCTCCGAGGCAGTCAGAGCCGTGCACTGCCTTGCCACAGTTGCCTTCAGTCTGGCTTGTTTAGCTCAGCCTACACAATTCAGTTTAATGCTCTATTATCCTACCCCCCCAAGCCTGCAGGAGAGGGGTAATGTGACAAACACCAGACAGCAGCACCAGCTGATTGCAATGGGAAAAAAAAAAGGCAATATTTGCATGAAGCTCCGCTGCTGCACCAACAGCCAGGAATTGCCATGGAAACACTCCGACATTACATCTCTCCTTCACCTTCCCAGGCAGCATAGCCAGGCTCCCTCCTTTGTGAAGGTGCTGGAAGCAGCCAGGACATGGCATGCCACGTGGCTTGTGTTTTGGAAGATATCTCTCCGGGAGCATCTTGTGACACGACTCTGGGGCCACGCCAAGACTCAGAAGTTGCGGGGCTGGGAGGTGGTAAGGAGAAGGGCAACGTGCAAGCATGCACGTCAGTCCCTGGCATTCATCTCAGCCACCACTCCAGCAGGGGATAGCCAAGCATTGGGTGTAACTGGGGCCCTGGACTAGGACAGCTAGGCAGGCCTGCTGGGAAAAGCAAATCCAGGGCAAATAACTCCCTTTCCTGCCTCAGGGCTGGTGCGGACAGCCCCTGAATGAGTGCCACTGACCCTCCAGGCAGCAGGGATGCCCTGCCTACCAGCAGGTTCACACACTAACCTCCCGCAGCTTGTGGGTTTGTAAGAAGACGGACTCTCAGCAAGCTGCTTTTCTACATGCTGCTGGCTCACCCGGCTAGGAGCACAGCCAGATGGATGATCCTCAGCACACCAGCTGCCCACAAGCTTTACCAGGTATGGGCCAAGCTGCAGGGTGGCTGCTGGTGTCCCGGGGAGACCTTCTCTGAGGTTGGGCAGTCTCAGCTGGCTCCATATTTACGTGTGACCCCAAGTGCAGGTAGACACTGCATCAGTAAAATAAAAGGAAACCCAGTAAGTAGTCACCAGATTTTCCTCAGCTGATTATGGAGGCAGAGAGCAAGAAGTTTCCTTGCTGAATTCCTATGACCTAATCTACCTCCCTGATCTATGTACCAGTGCCCAGGGAAAGCAGTAAAATCCAGGATCCTGACTGCATCGTGGCTAACTCAGCCTTGGACCCTAGGGAGCAGGCTTTCATAAGAAATGAGCAGCATTCAAACGAGAGCTTTGAAGTGCTTCAAGTGCCCTGGTGACAGGTAACAATTGAGCTTCAGCCCAGTCAGTCCGTCACAGAGTTGTGATCAGAAACGCCTGGCTATAAGTCCTTTTCTCCGAAGAACAGAACAGCCACCTTCCCCTAATATAGCGGCGGTCACCCTTTTTTGGCAGGCATGTCACCAACTAGCCCCACACCCTTCCCAATTTCCTGATCTGCTTTCTGCCTCCTGCCCTCTGCTCCCAGCCTGATCTCCTGCTCTGCTGTCTGCTCCCTGTTCTACCTGCCACTATGCTGCCAGTCCCCCTGCCCGGTTGGACTCTGCAGCATGCTCACATAGTGGCCCTGAATGGCTCCCTTGGTAGAAGCACAAGCACTTTGGTGACGTCAACCCGAGTAAAAGAGAACAGAAAATGAAAGCAACAAGCTAATATAGGATTCGGGAGAAGTGCGACGTTAGGCAGCTCAAGATAATGAAGCAACAAGATAATGAGTCAACGTTATTCCCCACCATCGTCTCAGTTGAGCAAAGATTTTCCGCACCAAGGAAGTGAACATTTACACAGCATCCTTGGAAGTATCAAAATAGCACAACTTCCATATCCTACCAGGAACCATGGCCCCAGACAAAACTAGGGAAACCCCAGGCTTCCTGCTGTGTCAGAAAGCTTTGACTCGTTTCTCCTATACTGAAGCCTTTACAAATTCAGAAAAGTCCCAACATTAAGGAGTCTCCCAAACGCTGGCACTCCACATTTAACTTTGCTCCTATGCCCCAAGAGCTTCTTTCCCTTGGTTGCGCCATTTGTTTTGGGGAGGGAGCACTGAGAGATTGCCGGCCACACACAATTCTTAGACTGAGCTATTTAATAGGATTTGCTGCTTTTCCCAGCAGGCCTGCCTAGCTGTGACAGAGCCCTGTACACAAACTAAGATCTTTTAAGCTGGCTTTATGCGAGTAGGAAGCATTGGGATATCAGCAAGACACGGTCAAGCAGACTGAGTTGGGGAAAGGACGCTGCTTTGAAGACACCGAATCCACTTACTCCCAGATCTTACAGTATCTTCTGAAGATTTGTTGAGACTCAATCCATCTCCATCACTTTGGTCAGGCATGTATCAGACCCAATTTACAGACACAGAAATGAAAACTGAATGACTTCAAGGCAGTCGCTGGCAGAGCCAGAAACGTATGAAGTGACAAGGTCGCATCTCCGTCAGTAGAGATGTTAACAACTGAACGGGCTGGTAAAAACAGAAACGGTCCTTGGCTGTATAGAGCTTTTCACAGGCGAGGAAGCAGCCCTCTCTGTTTGGCAGGCAGAAACAGGAGAATGACTTGCCCCAGATCAGGTTATGACGACAAATCACACATCCTGACCGTACCCAAATATTTACAAAGCGTGACTCAGTGAGGCTGGCTCACGCTGCAGTGAATGGCACCCATCGACGCTGTGGTCTTCTCACTTGGCTGGTCTTCAAGGTGCCCTTTCAGTTTGAGAAAGAAGCCTATGCGCCACACGCCCCTTCCCTCCCAGGAAAAAGTCCCTGAGGAAGAGGAGGATATAAAATCTCACCTGGCCAAAGGCCTTTACTGGCAGGATTATTAGAAAAGCTATTGCTGGGGGGGAAGAAAAGGGGGGTAGAGTTGTTTTTCCAGTTCTGCTTCTGTTCTCTCTGTATGAGTTGCAATTATATCTGAATCAGCAGCCACAGCAAACTCCGAACAGATCTGACACACACCCCAGGCCTGTCCAGACGGGCAGCAGCTCTGCCAGCCACCCCCTTCTCCCCCCTTGAAAGGCCAGTTTAACCCTGCTGCCCGCAGCCAGGGAAGCACCTTGCCCTCCAGTCCGAGGAGCCACGCTCCCACGGGGAGAGGCAGCTCTGCCCTTCTCTATGAAAGCTCAGGAAGGGGATCCCCTGCTCCTCCCTCCCACTCTGGGGCCAAGCCTCCCTCACGCAGACCCCCTGTCCCCCCAGACACTTCGGTCAGGACCTGCTCCAGCCCTCACCCCTGCTGCTCCTCGGGAAGGGGGTCCCAATCCCAGGGGGCGGGGGAATGGGCCTGATCCTGGGTCTTGGTGGGGCGGTGGATCTTGCAGGGAGTGGTCCCAAACCAAGGGGTTGTGGGAAGTGGGGTCGGCCCCTATCTGGGGGGGAACCAGGTGGCAGCACAACCTTGGGTAGGGGGATCAATGGCGTGGGGGTGGCTCCTATCCTGGGGGGGGAACAGTCCTGAGCCTGGCTGGGAGGGGCCCGGCCTACATTCACACCTGGCTTGTCAAGAGCCTGGTCCCAACCCTGGGTGGGAGGTGGCCCTGATCCTGGGTAACGGGGCAGTCCCAATCATGGGAAGGAGGCCCTGATTTTGGGGGGCAGGGACGAGGGACACTGCCAGGGGGATGGCCCCAACCCAGGAGCTTGTGAGCGGGGGAACTGGCCCCTATGCAGGGGGGACAGGGCGACAGCCCAACCCTGGGCAGGGGTTGGCCCCAATCCGGGTAGGGGGGGCAGAAATGGGGCACACGGGGACAGTCGCAATCCTGGGAAGGGGGTCCTGACCGGGGAGGACACTTTGGCAGGGGTGGCCCCGACCCCGGGTGGGAGGCCGGGGCCCGGGGCGGCGCTGGGGCGCACTCACCCGCAGTCGGGCGCGGGGCACCAGCGGCAGGCGGGGGGGGCGGGCAG